ATAGGATTTAAAAGATATATTTATCTAAGAGAAAATTAGAATAGAGATAAGATTCAATGTAAACGAACAAGTGCTTACATAGGATTTAAAAGATACACTTATTTCAATAAAGTTAGTCACCTGAAAAGCTATAAAGCTGAGGCCGACAAGGATCATGGGTAGATTCATTTTACATGTTTCAACCGCTTGATAACTGTTAACGGACTTGCGAATCTTTTAACGGTTACACTCTCACCTCTTCTGAGCATCATCGAGCTGCAGTTTGTATTAAAAAAGCTTTGTATATATATATGCTTTTTTGATATGAAAAGTTTCCCATGATGCTCAGTGATCTCAGCTTTCTAGGTTTTTGGTGGCTAACTTTATTGAAATAAGTGTATATTTATCTAAGAGAAAATTACAATAGAGATGAGATTCAATGTAAACGAACAAGTGCTTACATAGGATTTAAAATATATTATATTATCTGGTAAGACAAAATTACAATAGAGATAAGATTCAATGTAAACGAACAAGTGCTTACCTGTTCTTCTAGACTCAATACACTGTGTGCTCTCACTTGTCCGCCCTAGATATATTGTAAATATTACACACGAATGTGAAAACTTTGACTAAGTTATGGCATAGAATTACTATACATAGTCAAAACTGAGAAATTAAATTGACAAATCAAGAGTAGATAAGCTCCTTTCTGCCTTTGAATCGACCAAATAGGCCTTTTGCAGTTAATGGTCACGTGTCTGTACTGGTGAGCAAATTCTTTTATTTAATTTTAAATCGGTGATTCTTTTTAGCTACTTGTAAAGAACTGAATGAAACGATGTGTAACCAGTGTGTTACGAAATGCAGTTTTATTACGATCTSTCAAAACAGGTTGTAGAAAGTTTGTTTGCTCACCAGTATATTTCACCCATGGCAATCAAGATGTTCATTCATTTGCTCTCAGTGAATTAATCAGCACGTGGTTAATGAGCTAAAAAGGACCTATTTGGATCATACATGACAAGGAATACACCTACTGAGAAGACTTTATTTACTAAAGAGGCCTTTCTGACCTCACTTCCATTCAACTGTCCCCAGTCCCAACCGCATTTGGCGGCCATTTATGAGAAAGGTGTATACAATGATGCCCACGGAAATAAATGATTATGAATAAACAACAGTAGGTTTTACCTCACATGGGTCAATAATACCGAGCGAACCAGGGAGAAACAAACCAGAAGCCAGTAACTGAAGGGCACGTCTGTAAACAACAACACTCGTCATTTAGCATTACAATAATCTACTGAGTAATGACTTGATTGATGACATGTTAAGGCTTAGGTCAAATGTCAAACTTCACATGAGCGGAACCTAATTGAAACAATTGATAACAAGGTGGTCTTCTTGAATGTCATTAGGTTCGTCTCATGTAAAGTTTGGCGTTTGATCTTAGGGTGCTTTCCATTAAGTCGGAACCAATCGGTCCGAGCATCAAGTTCTGAAATGAAACGCATTAATTTTAAGAATTGGACCAACGTGGCTTGCACCAGTTGTAAGAACTAACGCATTCCATTAGAGAACTGGCCGCTCACACTGTTTGGTTTGATATAATGGACAGCACCCTTATTCTAACTTACCTGAAGGCAGCATTGATATTTAAAGGTTGTCTGGATGATGTAACCATGGCAGCTCTGTGAGCCTGTAAGACAAAAAAAAAAAAAA